TTCCTAAGAGGATTCCAAGCCTTAGGAAAACATCGTCATGACATTTTCGTCACATACACACACCAAATGCAAAAAATTCACTGAGTTGCACGAAATCGGACATCAATTAAGCTTAAAGGACGGGTGAAAATGCGAACTTCTCCGGATGACCTCCGACGACAAAATGGACTGCGCCAACGCGTCCGGGATACCCATTTTGGTAGGAAAGAAGACCCATATTGCCATATTTTCGACACGAAAAAATTGGCACGCAAATCGATGAATTCGTCAAAACGACTTCCGGTGGCAAAAAGAACCTCGCCAACACGTCCGGAACTTCAAAATTACCTAAAAATGATATCAATTTTTGCTATATTTTGATGCATGGGTGAAACACAAATTAAAATTTTATTTTTCAAAATCTTAAATACTTTCTTTTATATAAATATCCTTAAATCATATTCATATTTAACCTAACCCTATTTAGGTTCTCACCCGCTCGCTTAAACCCGATTAAAACACTCCATTCGCTCGATCGAAGCCTGGCTCGCCGCTCGTGCCCTAGCTCCCGCATCTCCTCTGCGCCACGTCACCCTCCTCTCCTGCATCTCTTCCCTCACACGAGGCATTCCGCTGCCATTTGCGCACGAGACTCGTCTCCTTGAGCTCCTCTCGACCGAGCGGTCCTCCAACTGCGAAGTTCCACCTGGCCGATGCTTCTCTTCCTCGAGGCTGAACGCTCTCCTCTTTATGGTGTCGTTTCATTTCTTCTTTGTGATTCGTTGGCTAGGGTGGCTGGTAGATTGCTTATTTTCCTCTTCTCTGCCTATAAAATAACTTCCTAAACTACTGTTGGTGGTTGTTGAAAAATTTTGAAAGAGTTCTTAAGGGATTTTAGGGAGATTCGGATACTTTTCTACCTCTATTCTTCATTCGATTAGAATAATTTCTTTTCTGTTTTCCCTGTTGGAGAGAAAGCTTAAAGCTTTGTTCCTTTGCTGTTCAAAGATCTTGGAGACTCGAATTTGTCGTGCCGTAAGCTGAAGATCGTGAAAAATCTTCGTGGGGTGCTGTGTGAAAAATCTTCGTGGGTTGCTATTGGAGTGATTTTCTCAAGCCTACTTTACTTTTTCTTTGCTTTAAGTTTACAAAAAGAAGAGGTGTTCTTCTCTTCTCCCCTATTTTATATTATTTCGTATATCATGAAATATGGAAATTTATTTTGAGGCTTAAGCATGAGTATTTGCTTAAATAGTGAGAAAAGAAATATACGTATATGGATCATCTTTACTTTCTTTACTTGAAACACTTGAGGGCATGGTTAAGGTGATTATGGAATTCATTTTTATTCTTGAAATGTTAGAAAGTAAGAAATGCATGTTGAAAACTATTTTATGAAGTGAGAAAGATGCCTTTAGGGCTTATGTTTTGCTCATTTTGCTGCCCCTTGTTGAAATATATGCTGGAAGTTTATTTTTAAGTGCTGGAAATCATCTTTAGAGCTTATGTTTTGCTCCTTTTGCTGCCCCTTGTTGAAATATATGCTGGAAGTTT